TGGACTGAGTAAATGGTCTTTAATTTCCCCTTGCCCGCTGTGTCTCACTTTCGCATGCCGCCCACACTAATTTTTTGAGCGGAGTAAAATGGAGAAGCAGACCTGAAGGAGTTTTGGGAAAGTGTTATGATTTTCAATAAAAATGGGTAAACAATCTACAATCGGAATGGCGTTGAAAATTCCTCCTTAGATTTCAAAGTAACATTCTAGTTTTATGGTAATGTAAAATTGTCACAGACGTTATTTATAAACCGTACTCTACTGTTTGCTGTTTTTTATTAACTTCATATAAACATGTTGCATCCTTTAGATCATACATTACTTAACGCATCCATACAATTTGTTCACATGTTTTAAGGGAGTGCCTTAAAAATGCAGAATTGATACCAATTACATATTCACAGTATCGGCAATAGTTCGGGGGTTTAAACAACATACTATCGCAATCGAGGAAAAATTGGCTTTTTCATCAGTGTTTCCACGATATCCTGGTGTTATCGGTTGTGATATTTTCGTCCATATGATGAGTTTTCCTCTGATTCTGACTCTCATGTTCCATTGCAAGTGGAGGCAATTATCTAGAAGAGGTTCTTTTCTCTTCAAATTTAAAGAATGCATGTCGCAAAGACACTTGGTAAATCAGTCTGAACTATGCATGGTTCATTTGATGAAAATTAAATTTCGACGGAGTTTTAGTAGATTGGCATCACTTTAACACCTCAAATGTGCAAGACCACGTTCAGAGACTCCAAAGGGTTATGGAGTATTCTTATTCACGGCTGAATATTATTAACTGCGGCTGTATGTGATACTTTTTAAGTTTTATTAGCATGGCACTTGCGAAATTCATAGATTTACTGGGGCATGGTTTCCGTATGAGAATTTCAAAATGTCGCTAGTTGATATGCATATGATGGCGACGTCATTGGAGAAAATATATGGGTTAATGTGTTTTTATAAGATTTTAACTTGTGATAAGTTTTTATTTTACCAAACTTCAAGTTGGTTATTTGTTTTTGCGATCGGGTAAAAAATGTGCTAGTATCATTCTCTTCAAAATAAAATAAACGAAAAGGGGAATAAAATTTCAATATATTGATTGGCTATGTGTTATTTTTAGTTCATAAGAGACGCAGCTGGCGAGATTTGCATAAATTGAGGAATTTATGAATCGTTCGGAAACTGCTGTAAATATATTGATAAAGCATTTCAGTCACTAATGGACGACCGGCAGTTAAACAGAAATATAAAAGAAATCTTTAACATGAAATTACGTTTTTCGATGAAAATCGGAACTGCCAAAAATTCGCATATTCCTGTCCACTATGTAAATTACTAAATAGACATGCAAAACACCTTCAATGCAATAAGTGGAGGTGATTAAATTTATATTAGCTAAAGCTAACGAGATTTAAAGAGTAATTTCGCATATTCTTCAGTTGAATATACTCCAAAAACTGGTGGAATATAAAGCTTTCTGTTTAGGTAGTTGCCTATTGCTTGGCTGTCTTTTCTTAAATAACTTTACCGACGTTTGATTTATTTTTCCCATGCGGTCAAGTAAGAAAAAAGAGTTCACCTCCTTTTTGGACAGAATTGTCAGATAAATAATATATCCTAAGATCTCACTTTACGAGAGGTCGGTCGGCGACCAAATAAGTTGAATACAATTGATAAACTTAACCAGGGGCCAACCGTTTTTATTTATCGTGATACTTTTTGGCAAAATAACATTTTTATTTTTAATGACAAAGGATTTCGCTCAGTTATAGTGTTCTTAAAGCATCAGTTAATACTTTTTAAATTTTTAGTTTTACCCGTGATATTCCGACGGAAATAGCCTGTGTAATCTGTGCCCACCAAATCCTTCAAAATCCTGTTTATTAGAAGATTTTATCCGAGTAGTGAGTTATCAGATACTCTTTTTGACAATGACTGTTTTCACATTATGTGTAGACTCATCCAGACATGACACCTATTCATTCAGAAATTGAATTAGCTAACGAACATATGCGGTTTAGGAGCTCTTGGTCAAGCCAAAACCCTCTCCAATGTGCTTGCTTACCGTAGGTGGCTAACGAATATCTAAGAACCTTTGGTTTTCCTAAATGAACTCGGGACTATTTTATCACTTCTGTGAGAGATACGGATAGGATTTTGTTCCATTTGAAGAAGAAGAAAAAGAAGCCCTTTTCTTTCATATTGGGACCAAATTCGTATAATTTGTTTATTCTGCTTTTCGTTCTTTGACTGTCTATCCATAAGAGCGTGGCCGCAATTCCTCAAATAAGTAATTTTATGCCTACTCCGCGTCTAATTGCCATGTTGACAGTATATAAGCAACGCCAAAACGTCTTGGATCATTTTTAAAACTCAAAATGGTCCGTTACTAATATGACGGTTCACGGTTATATATGAAATATTGGTATATGTTAAGAAACTATGTGTTAGTTAAAACAAGAGATGAGTATGTCTCTGAACATGAATCCGTGATGGATTTCGAAACGTCAAAAAAGTCTTCTATTTATCAGTTACTTCCTAGGAATCGCATGTTCGCTTGTATTAGCAAGATATAAATAAGTTTAGAGCATACAAAATGCAGAGGACGAAAGAGGGATTTACAATGAAGTACAATTTTTTTTACTGAAAATAACATGTCCATTTACCTCTTATCTCATCTGAAATATACAGAACTATAAACAATTTTCTGGGGGGAAGACCGTTGTCCTGATTAATGCCAACCAATAGAAAAACATGCACCGATGCATTAGTGATCTGCGAAATTCTAGCATGGAAAAACGCTAAGATATAAGGTAACTGTAATTTCCTCCCAAATTTGTTCACTTTTATTAATAACCTTACCGAATTATATAATTTTCATGTCCAATATTTGGGGCATTTTGAACTGACCACACGATTTCGTACATCATGCCTGCTGCCTTATAACATTTAACATATATCATGTTACCCTAATTAAAATGTTTAATAATGTCGTCAAATGTGAATATTTACTCGAAAGCCTTTTTCATTCCAAATGTTTGGACTTTTAGCAGACAGAATTATCATTGAGCTCTTTTGTTTATAGCGAAATGTACCGGCATTGTCAAGACACCCTATGATATTTCTATTTTACGTTATCATTGCGCAACAGCTCTACACTTTAATCAGTAGGACTAAATCGGCACTGTCAAAAAGCAGAAATAACTAATGTAATTGACAGAATCTTGCCCATCTATTGAGTTACTTCTCTATATATTTTCAAGCAACTCATTTTGAACTGAGCCCCTGGGTTATAATAAGCACCGACCACTTATTTAGAACATCACTATAGATAAATGTCTGATATTAATTTCAGTTATTGTTCTGTTTGCTCTTATCGATACTATCAGAAACCGAATAGTCTTCACGTGGTGAAAATCATTTCATTTTTTTACCTTACACTTATTGTAAGTTAAAGAATAAC